GCCAAAATCTAGTGAAGAAATGACTTGTAAGATCCCAGGTGCTACGGGCCTAATTTTGCTAACGAAGGGGGATTGTATTAAAGATTGTAAAGTGGCTATGTTTCCGGGCTTCATAGAATCTGCAAATGTGTATCGTTACGCGCAATGGGGAGGCTAGAAGCCGGGAACATGTATAATGTGTGAACCTCTGTGCCTAAGGGCTCCGTGAGGAGAGAAACCGTGCTGCCTGTAAAGGACGGACTTATAACTGGGAGCATTGGAACTCTGCTCCAAATAAACTTTGTTTTTAGAGGATCTGCTTGAAACAAGCACCTAGCTTCCGCTCTCGGCAGCCTGCAGATATGAGAAGCCACAGCTGAACAGAGAAAAAGCACTCAGTCAGCTGAGTAACAACAGACAAGCAGGATGTGGTGACATCACCCCTCCCCCTACTAGTTCTGTTGAGAAGGGAGAGTCCTGAACTAACAGCTCCGTATGATTCTGACCTGACAGACAGCTACACTAATAAGGCGTAAGCATTTTTAACCTTGCCACATTTGGTGTTGTTGGCAGGATCCATGTAGTACTGTCAAGTAGGTCCATGGATGTGAAGTTTGTGGCACCCTGCGCGGAAGTACGAGGACGCGCTTGTGGAAAGAGGGGGGAAGGTGTGACAGTGTGAGCGTTCTGTCACAATGTCTTGATTGATAATGCGCCCTGGCCAGTTGGCTAAGGGGATGTCCCTTTGGCTGAGTGGTTAGAGCGTATGGCTCCCACCCTGGAGGTCTCAGGATCGAATCCCGCCTGGGCTCTCATTAATCCACCTTGCCACACTTTATAGTTTTTAGCGTAAGCTTCCCACCTGCAGCTGCAAGCAGAGTTAGCTTGTTGCTGTTCAGGTGTGTGAGGAGAATATTTGAAGCTCTGCAGTAAAAAATATCTTCAGTCTGGAGGGAGAGAGTCTGTGCTTGAAGGAGGAGACTGAGATGTTCCAACCAGCAGCTCAGCTGACCAGATGGCCACAGAAACTGGTGGAGAAGCAGGAACCCAGATCTGAACCCTCATGAACAAACATCTGGTTCTTCAGAGACTGAAGTGAGTGATGATGATGATGATGGTGTGTATCTGAACTCTGAGCTGTCAGACTCTGGGTCTGAGACTGGAGATGAAGATGATCCAGAGGAGGAGGCAGCCCCACCCCAAAGAAGGCTGCTGCAGTCCCCTGGCTAGATTTTTCTCGCATGGGGGATGTTGCGAGTCCCCACATGCCAAAGACAGTGGCAAGCTGAAACACATTGGACTGGCTTGTGCGAGCAAAATCAGCCAGCCGACAGGAGCTGGGCTGCAGGTCAAAAAACTGTGGTCAGAAACAAGGGTCACACAAGGGTCACAGGGACAAGAGGACAGAACTGGGCGAAGGGTCAGGAGACTGACCCCACCTCTTTGCCCCACCCCTGGCTTGGAAAGATGGGATTGGAGGAGAACAGAATGAAGACAAGCCCATCAGATCCAGAAGCCCTCTCGGGAACATTGGAGAGAAACTGAAGAATGCTGCAAAAGATGATGTAATGACCTGTGTTAAGAAGAATGCTGCATGTAGTGAAAATGACACCAAATGTTTTGTGTTGAGCTACAAAGTGTGTATCTGGTAAATGACCCCATGACCTTAAGCTGGTCCAGGAAGGGTATATAAGAACAGCTCTGAACAGCAGATAGGGATTGAGAGATTCGACAGCAGTTGGGGCAGAGGACAGAGAGGAGAGCAGATGGGGAGGGGTCATCCCCCATCCAAACTTGGATGGGGGATGACAGAGAGAGAGACTAGATGAGTTCTTGGGGAGATTCTGAGAAGACAAGAGCTGGTGTAAACTAACTCTTATTTAATCATTTTGAACTAATTCCTCCGTGGGGGATAGCAGTTGTTTTTCACTTTACCCATTTTTGTATTTTGATTTTGTAATAAACCTTTTTTGAAAAAGAAACATAATCCTGATTCTTTCAGGTTTTCTCTAAAGCTTCACGTTTGGGGCCCTGGCCATAATTGCACAGAGGTAAGCTAATCGATGATCGGTCTCTGAATTATCGGGACTTACTTTACAGTTTATAATAGAATAATATAAAGAAACCTTAAGATAAGGGAAGTTTTAACTTCCCCCTCCTTGCGAGTAACGAGTTGTCTTAAGGGCGATAAAAGCAAAATATTCGAGGTTATTTTGGCTCTGATTGCAGGTTGAAAAAGTCTCTAATCAGCTGGAAGGTTGGATTAATAAATAAATTGATAAAATTATGATAGCCTGATCAACTAGCATAAATCATTTTATAGTTACCAACCTCCCACATAAGCTGTTAGAAGCGCAATTAATTCCGGGTAATCCAAACAATTGCTGAGAGGCTTGGCTTGCCTCCAGACTTCTCTCTAGTATCTTAACCAAAAGGTAACGAGTTTAAAAGAAGTGTAGTACTCTGGGGCTGGCTATTCGTACAAGTCATTTCACCTTTAAAATAAAAGACAAGATTCTAATTAGATGGTCCAATCCAGGATCTAGTACAATTATACTCGCCGACATCCCCCCGAACCCTGATGGATGCACCGTCTCATAAGTTCTAACGGAACTGGGTTTTAAAGGAACCGGTAAATGGGACGGGCACGCGACAGTGTCATCCTGGGTATCTGCAGTTTGGGTCCAAACCATCCCCTCTTCGTGACAGTAATTTATGCCTAAATGAAAATTTAACTAGATTTTATTTGTAACTTGCGATGCACCTGCTTCTCGTGACTTTAAGTGGGAGGTTTAAAGAGAGAGAGAGAGTGTGTGTGTGTGATTGTTAGATGACACCTCGTTATTCTCACAGCTTGTTAATGTGCCGTCATGAGTTTTATCTCACATCAACACCTCATCTAATTTTACAGCCTGGTGCTTTTTTATGTCTTTGGATTGTTTTGTTGTTATATTTACTGATTGTTTTTGCAGGGTTTGTGTTTATCTTTCAACTGTACCTGCTCAAGAACTTCCTCACCTCCTTACTGACGCTCGATGCAGTTGGCACAGCAACATGAACCAAAAGACTGGGTCTAGAGGGGAACCAGGAGGACCACAGGTCTCCCTCTCTGTTTTTCATCTTTTCATTTCTTTTTTTCTATTTTTAATAATGAGGTTAGAGTTCAGGGACTAAAATAACAAAGCCAGCACTGATCATCAGAGGAAAACACTACACTTCAGATATTGCGCAGGGAGGAAAAAACGTCCAACTTTCCAGACAGAATGCACCGTGAGCCTGGAACTTGGACAAGAAAACTACCAAATAAATACAATATTCACTGAATATTAAAGCAAAGAGATTTAAATTAATTCAATAGAAATTCACAGGTCCTTCTTGTTAGTGACTTAGATAAAAAAAGGATAGAAAGAAAACACATTTGGTAAGAATCTTCAAAAGCTACAATCTCACTGGGTATTATGCATCAAAGTGTTTGTATCGCATGTTGGTCAGAAATGATCTTAATTACATCTCAAATCATTTGCGATTCTCTCGTATATTTGGCTACTTGGTCATCAACCCCTCCTAGAGCTGTCTCACACCCCTCCCACTGTCTAACTCACTGAAACAAAACAGAAAGTTTTGAGGCTAAATGTAAACATCAGTACAAACTGAGCTGCTTTTCTCACAAAACAAATATATTTTATGTTTATGTGCTTAGCAGACGCTTTTACCCAAAGCGACTTACAATATATTTTTTTTTTTAACCTATAGGGCATGTTGTGATCTGTGGGGGAAACCGGAGTACCCGGAGAAAACCCACGCATGCATGGGGAGAACACGCAACTCCACGCAGAAAGGTGAGTTTTGAACCTGCGACCTTCGTGCTGCGATGCAACAGTGCTAACCACTGCGCCACCATGCAGCCCATATTTTCTACGGTTTGGCTTGTCATTCACACCACCAACAACAATTCCTTCAAAAACCTCAGACCAAAGTGAGATTTGCAAATTCTCTATTGTCAGCATTTTCTTATGGATGTAAATATTCTGTGTTTCAGGTTTTCCAATGTCACTGTGACAAAATGTGCGTGTTCCTGCAAGCTCAATAGCTGCAGATCACAGGTAACACACAATGTTAATGACGGCTATTGCCGCTACCAAGTTATTCCAAGGAATTATTCTTGCCAATGATTTGGGGAATTACTGCCACCTACAGGCTTGGCATGCCTATGAATGTACTTCTCCGTCGTTTTTTTTTTTTTTTTGGGGGGGGGGGGGGGTTGCTGAAAATGACCAAGTTTGTTTAGTTATTTTTTTCTACGATTTTACAAATTTGTGTTCCGAGTCATGCACTATCAGCCATTTTTTCCTAGTGGAAATCCATTTATCTGAGTTGGACCTTCTTGAATAAAACCTGCTAAAAAGCAGGTTTGGTTAACAGACTCTGTTACCATGGTGATAGACCCAGAGATTGGCTAAATTCAGAGCTAATTCTGGAGCAGCTCCCTGCTGTTCTAAGCAGTCCACCCATGCATGTGTCCTTTTTGCATGTTTGTATGCATGAATACTGAAGCTAGACAACATTCCTTGGAATCAAAGCACATATTTAGATGAGTGGTGGAGCAATGAGGATTGTGTTCGATCTTCTTTTATAGAAATGGATACAAAACTCAAAAATCAGAGACTTAAAAGTAAAAACCAGCAGCAAACAGATTGTTGCCGTTACATAAGTGTTCTTTTCTTTGTACTGATGAGGACATCTCCTACATCTCTTCATTTGTCACTCGCGGAACCAGTTTGTCAAGTCAAAAGAACTTGGATCCAGCTCAGAAAGGGTACTGGGCGAAGCAGGTTGACGGCTTCAAGAAATTTAGTTCTCTGGATACAATGTACAAATCCACCCTCTGATGTTTGCATCCCTCGTCAAAGAGCAATTGTAGAAAAAAACAGAAGAACAGTTTGCTTTATAGCTGCGGCCAAACGCAGCTAAAATTATTACAATTGGACACACTTAAAGACACACACTCATAAGTCACTCACATGGCCATGCCGAACTGCTCCAGCCACTTCTTTTTTAGCTCTTTGGTCTTGAAGAAAAACTCAAAGCCATTCTGTCCTTGGTTGTGAGTGAGGTAGAATCCATAGGACCACTAGAGAAGAAAAAAAAACAGAAACACGTTTGAGACGGGGGAATAAAAAGATGGAGCATGAATCCGTTAAAAGACATACAGAGGAGAGCTGAATGGGAAAGAGACGGGATACGGAGAGAGGCAGATGGGGACAAAAAGATGCTAAATGAAAGAGGGATGCCTCGGGGAGAGAAAACACAAAGGGGAAAAGAAGTGACAGAAACAAAAAGCAGAGGAAGAACGTAAAGGAGAGGAGAAAACCAGTGTGAGATAGCTGCCGGGCATCAGGCAGCGTCGAGCAGTGAGTGGGCCTGTAATCAGCGACTATTATCCACTTTAAAGGCTAAATATCACTCCATTAGCCTCTCTGTCAGCACAGTCATCTGTTTTTCTTACACCGAATTACAAAACAGATGCTTGTGGGAAGCAGTTTTTTATGGCTCCTAGTTGTGCGTTTGAACTTCTCGGCTCTGAAGGTTAAAATGAGATGAGCCCGCTGCGCGGGTGGAAAAAGGCAGCGGCTCATCTCTTTTACTGAATGAATAAAAAAGAGGAAAGCGCTGCACAACACAGGCAGTCCCAGTGGACAGCGGGACCTGAGCTAAGCAATGATGTTATCTGTCTGCCAATTTGTAGAGAAGAAGGTGTTTCTCTAGTTTCTGGGAGCCGTTTTATCTTCTCTCTTTTAGGAGGGCTACACGGGTGGGAGGATGCTTTTTGTTCCTCCCTATCTGTGGATGTTCAGCAGGTTATTCAGGAAGATTATTCACAGAGCTGCTGTTAGATGCTTTGATGTAGATTAGTGTTTGTTTGGAGTCATTTATAATGGATTTGGGTGGGCTTTCGTTGTTTTTACTCACTAATGACATTGTTTTAACTTTCCATTTTCATAGCCGGCTCCTGTCCAGCACAATGAGCAGGTAGCGTATCTTGTAATGAAAAGATGATCTAAACCTGACTTTTTTGGGGTTTGTAAATAAACAAAAATAACAAGAATTAAGTGGATTAGACACACTATTAACTTTTGGGGGCTTGTGATAATGTTTTTGCCAGTGTCTCTGTGTTCATCTGCATTTAATATGGCAACATTCAGAAAGAAATCATTACATGTTCATCTCCAACTGTTTCTCTGTTGGAGTCGAGCCAGTTCAAGATGGCTGCAAACCATAGAAAACCCACAAAGCTCAGTCTGTTTAACTGAGCTGATATTTGGTGTTTTAGTCCATGAGAGTCTGAGCCCTACAAGCTCTTTAACTACCATCACAAATAATATCTATGTAAAATATGACAACTCATTCAGTTCAAGTTAGGCTATTTAGTTTCTAACATCAACCAAATCTCGTTCTCCCAGAGAGAATCCTGACAAACAGGGCATCTATTTCTGTGTGTGCAAAACAAACATGTCTCAAACACACAACCTTGGGTTTGTCATATATTGACCTTTTGAGGAAGAGGAGAAGTAGCTGGAGAATTTGATGTATAATATGTGCATGGTATGCAAAAGTTGTGCCATTAAAAGAATAAAACACAATAGCTGATAATTTCCGATAATAATTTACTGCCAAGATCTTTTGTACAGCGCATCTCCAGATAGAAATATTGAGGTGCTTCACAAGATCAAAAACAAAACAAAAAAAGTGATTAAAAAATAAAATGATTAAAAAGTATCATAAAAATTAGAACAATTAAAATGTGTGTTAACCCTCAGACTCAAAATAAAGTTTTGATAAAAGGACGAACAACTAAGTCCTTCAGGGGTACTTCTGAGTTAAACATTTCTCATGAAACACAAACAGCAGGCCTATTCAAATGGCAGCCCGTGGGCCACATCCGGCCCGCGGGCCCTACCCAGCTGGCCCACCTCACCCAATCCCCCAACCACCAACGGAAAAAAAACCTGTTGAAAAACTGTTTTAGCATGCAAGTTTCTAAATTCCCACACTGATATTACACTTGAACACAACACCATTTTAAAAATCACGGACATATATACGTAGACGCCCCGTGGGCTGGAGCAGTATATTGGAGCTGCCATAGTGTGGCTTCTACATTGTGGAGGTTCCTCCAGCCATTTCTCAGTGTTAGTATTATTTAAATATCTTTTTCCACACGCTGGTTTATTATTTCATTTTGTTGCAATATTGTAAGATTACTAATGGGTGCACACATTTAGTAATTTATCTTACACATAGTTTTTTTGATCTTTAACTATTTTCATTTGTATTCTGAGATTGGATGAACTGGCAGAGAGAGGGGACACGCCCAGTGTAACTCCATGCAGGAAGTGGAACATTCCATCTGGCTCCTGGAAGCAGGGAGCTTGATAATGAAGAAACCAGAAACCAGACGTTCTGAAGCTCTATTGAGTTTACCAGATTTTGTTAGGATGTATTAGTTAAACTTTTTTGTGGTAGTTGTACTTTGTTGACTTAGTTTCCTAGGTTTATTTACTGTTTGTCTTAGTGTTTCCCTTGTCTCTCCCCTCCTCGTTGTCTGTAGGCTAGCCTGTGTGTATAAATTCCCCTGTGTGTCTCAGTTTGAGAGAGTCTTGATTGTTACTTTTAGTTAAGGTTATTTTTGTGGCCATTTTTTCCTTTGGGCCCGTTTTTGTTTTGATTTTGTTTAATTCTTTATAAAAAAATGGATAAGATATTCTTTTAAAACATTGTCCTGGAGTTTTACTGCTCGGTCCCTGACATACATATTCATGTCTATGTTAGCAGTGACCCAGCAATGACCCAGCCCAGCTTGTGGAGCAAACAAGCGCCTTTCAGGCAAAACTAAACATATTCGCAACTGACTTGACTGGTAAAAGAATGCTACATTTTCCCACACTCCGTAAAGCCACCTCTCCTCCGAAAGTCACGGCAGAAATGACTGGTTTAGTCGCGAAACTGAAGGACAACTTTGCCAGTCACCTGGAGGATCTGTCACTTCCTACAGAGGCGATGCAATTAACGAAAGATCCATTTGCTGCCATCGCTGAGGAAACATTGTCCATCAAAGCTAAGAAAGCGGTCTCTTCTATCGATGAGGGACTTCCTGCTGGAGTTGGTGGACATGCAGTCATCACTTACAATGCTACAAGAGCTGCGCACAAATGGCCCCGCTAAGTTTTGGAGTCAGATCAATGCCCATCAATTCCCAAACATCAGGAATGTAGCTGTGACTGTTCTCAGTATGTTTGGATCCACCTATATTTGTGAATCCAGCTTTTCCCATATGAATGCAATCAAAACAAACCTGCGCTCCTCTCTCACTGAATCCTTTCTGCACTACTGTCTGCGCATTGCACTCAGCTCCTATGAGCCAAATATTCCATTTCTTGTTCAAAACAAAAAGTGCCACCTCTCGCACTAAAGTTGGAAGAATAATGGTCAAGCTATGGTTATTGTAAATGTTTATTTAGTAGCTGCGACTGAGTTATTGTTAAAACAAATGTTTGTATTACCAGCTCTGCTGCTGGTAAATTAATACAGATCATTAAAGCAATAAAAGACATTGTGCATTGCTTTTTTTGTTGTTGTATTAGTGGTAGAGATAATATCAGTCAAAATATTAAAATTTCATATTTAAACATTATCCGTACAATATATAATAAAGATTTGGGTATCCGGCCCAAAGCTGATCCACGATTTTGAAATCTGGCCCAGTAGGGAAAGTAATTGAATAGGCCTGACGTACAGTATGTGGAGTAACCAGGTAGGTAGGTTTTAACAGTTGTAAATCTGCAACGCCTGCCTCCGGAGGGTTAAAAATGGAAGGAAAGGGAAAGAGAAAACAAATAAATAAGAGGGAAATTAGTGGATCCTGGGAAAGGAAAGAAGAAAGTGCAGAATAACCCCCAAATTCCACTACCTCCGCGCCCCTCCGCTCCGGTCCACCCCAGCCTTCCGCAGCCGCTCGCTTCCGAACTCAATATTTACTGGTATCCGCTCTACAACGGCTCCGCTCCGGTGCGGAGACCTGAGGTGGGCAAACAAGCATGCGCGGGATTTTCGAGATCTTGCGATACAATCCGAATAATAAACGTGGAAGTTAGATCCAAACACCCGTTATGTGGGAGAAGCATCGGCATGAACTGTTTAACCTGCCCATCATTTGTGTTGAGAGATCAGCAGGGTTTGGATCAACAAAGTGTGTCTACTTTGATAGTGGAAACTGTATTCATGGCTTACTTTTGTGCATTTAAACTTCAGCCGCCACTGATAGTTGTTAAAAGTTGTTAAACCTGTGCATATGAAACAAAAAACGCCTTTTGTTTATCGATTTATTGTGAAAAACGGAAGTTGTGCTCGCTCCTTTTCCTGTTGGGCGGTTGTGATTTCTGTCCATTTACTGCGGAGGTGCTCCGGCGTCCGGCGAAAATAGGATCGATTCTATTTTTGCCGGACGCCGGAACAGAGGGCGGCGCACGGCGCCGCACTGCCGGAGCATGGCCGCAGTAGTGGAATTGCTCTGATTGACTACAACGGGACCGATTTTGCTCCGGCGTTGGTATCGGAGCGGAGCGGAGGTAGTGGAATTTGGGGGTAAGGACAATAACAATAACGGCTGATTAAACTGGACAAGGGTTTCCTATGTTTAAGGGTTTCAATCATCAGGTCAGCAAAAGCTAAATGCCGTACAAATCGCTTTTATGACATTTTTACGGCGTAAACACCAGATGTACGTCTACAGCTGACTTTTATTATTTTTTTGGAGTCTACCAAATTCAAAATGGCGACCACAGATAATCAGCATTAGCAAACACAAAAAAAGCGCTTAGAACTACAATGACCACAATAGAATGCCATCTGAAATGATGAATTTAGTGTAACATGTTAAGCGCAACAGGTGGCACGCACTCCTACAAGCAACACCAGGCCTGATCCGTTCCAGATGATTAGCATGCAAATGTCGTTTCTGACAAACGTCGTCCTTCATGCATCCATCAAGCAGTCGCTGCCATCCCTATTGTTGCTAACACAAAATGCATTATAACCTTCATGTCAGAGGTGAACAGCACAAAACTGGCTGCATCCTTCATAAAATATAATCCATAAGCGTCTAAGCCTACTAATGTCTGCTACTACAGCATTATCATCACCCAAATCAATGCTTCCTGACACGCCTTCCACATCATTCCTCATTATGATTGGCAATATTTTTCCCCAGTTGGCACTTTGTATTCACTGTGTGTGCACGAGTATTCGGGCCCAAAGCGAGGTTTAATGATAGCGCCATCTGGGAGGAGGCAGACTGTTGCAGGCTGACACTTTTTCAGTCAGGAAAAACGAAAGCAGGAATGTAAAACATGTGCAGGAACAAGCTTGTACCAAATTATTTAAGAGTCTTTTTTCTGTTAATTATTGTGTTGTTCGCGTAATGAGCCCAAAGGTTTTTTTATTTTTTTATTTAGCGTGTAGCTCGGCGCTCGCTGGGGGACTGGGAGCACAGAAGGCAGCAGTGGGGGTGGAGAGGTTGTTACAGGTGCTCGTAAAATACTACAGAGAAGCACGTTCACTTCGTTTTCATTTGCTTTTATGAACCTGAGTGTATCTGACAAACGGTTATGGCTGTTCATTATGCAGAAATAGCTCTGTTAATTGGTTTGTCAGGAGTCCAACATGGTTTCTGAGCTTTGCTGACTCAGTCATAAAGAGGCGATAATGGGTTTGACGTTGCAGAACTCTCCTTTATTTACAGCAGACTGGTCGTTAGGAGGTTCGCGCTTTTTACAGTGACTTAGGAAGAAGGTTTTGTTATTATTTCATCACTTTTACAGGCTGTGTGTTGCACAGAAACTATTAAAGTAGCTGTTTTTGTGCTGCCCTGCTGGGACGGGCTGCAGGTAAAATGAAACGCCACTCAGAGTTCCGTGAGCCGCTGTAGAATCGCAGCTTTAAGTGTTTTTGAAAGGATGACGATAAAAAAGTGTTACAGACGTGTTTACTTTCACTTTTAACGAGCTGGCTGAGGATTCAGAGTCAAACAAAGATGTTGGCAGTGTTATTGTTAAAAACAAAAGCACACGTGTGAGTCGCACGTGTGTGCTTTATTTGACGTGTTTAGATTCAAGAGGATTTGTGAGTAGAGAAAATGTGTTGTGACATTTCTGTGTGATGGTGAGGAGCATCCTGGCAGGAACTAGCATCTGTGGTTTAAATAAACTCAGCTTTAAAACACAAAGACTGAACCGTGTCATGCTGCAACTCAAAATGAGAAATAATGAAAGTTTTGAGGAGCGATCGACAGAGAGGCCGATATACTTTATGAGGCGGGAGCCAAATCTGAAAAGCATGTAGCTTGGCAGGAAGAGGCATTCAGCGGGGAGAGAGAGCTACTCGTGTGAAGGTGGGGACGTCCAGACCTGACTATGTTCCACAGAGCAAGAAATTCAACAACCTATCCAGAGAAAATCTGAGCCGTCTAGATGTTATTAGCAGTAAAATATAATCAGTTTGAGACAAACACAGCCTTAATTTAATCAGTGATTAAAACAAGATTGTTCTTTTGAATCAACGGTGCATTTATACGACCATCTGCTGATTAAAGATCATCGCTACAACCTAATTAAAAGGCTGTTTCCCCTCGTCTCAGGCGGTTTGTCGTGGATCTCTGACGTTACTGACAGCTCAGTGAACAGCGACCCCTGACAGCCATCACTGAGTCTATGGACCAAAACAATACCCCACCCCCTCGGTGTTCAGACCTTTCGGTTCTCCTTGTCCGCCGTTGGGTTGTTAGTGATCTTAAAGTTGTGCAGGTCGATCACTTCTTTCATCTCGTAGTTGTCTCCTCGACGTTTGCAAACGATCACTGCGGAGTCAAACAGGAAGATATGCCTGCAGAGAAAATAAAGCTTCATGTAAACTCTGGCTTGGTCCTGCAGCCAGAATCCTCTGAATATAAATCCAAAACGTTAGGGTTAAATCTAAAAGTGATGATGCAGCTAAACGAGAGCCACTATTTCTGCTAATGTGTTGTTTCTGCAACAAAAAGGCCCTTTAGCTGAACTATAAGAGATTGAATATAATCCCTAGAAGCATGCATTTTGCAAACTTCTGTACTGAAATCGTAACATCTTAATAAGTCTAATTAAATGATAATTGTCTTTGGTAATCAACTTATTATTCAACAGGTTTCACTTAAAACCAAAGAAAAGATTTAAAATCAAAGAATACCCTGGTGATCTCTCCAAATTCTAATGCTAATGTGTAATAAATAAATAAAAGGCACAGTAAAGAAAAAGCTGCTTTCATGGTTTATCCTGGAGGTTCGACGCGGAGGAAAGGTAACTTCGTGACGTTCATTTGTTACGGCTCACTGGCATTTAGAGAAACCGGTTTAGTTCCACGAGCCGCTGTGTACTCTGGCAGGACGCCCACCTGTCCTGTTTGGCTCGTTTGTCCACTGAGGACACGCGCACCTCCCCGTCACCTTTGGGCCTCCCGTAGTTTCTCAGAGTCTGATTCTGGAAAGACAAACAAAACTTATTGTAAAACACACACTAACTAAAATCCTCACGCCATCCGTCTGATCGACCCAGACTCACCAAGTTTTCTATGGATTTCTGGTACTGATCGATCTCTCTGAGCGTCTCGTTGTCCCTCTTGACTTCATTAACGTACTGAGCCAAGTCCTGCACACAAAACCACACAGCTCTACTATAACATGACTCAGCAGATCTTAGAGGTGGGGTGTATGTCTAAATCATTCTGTAAATCCTACTGAACTATAACTTCTGCTGGTCCAGTGAAATAAATACAGCCGGACTGAGTCGTTATGTAGTTACACTAAAAAACAAAAGACTCATCAAAGTCCTTTGATCTTTGAAAATGTTAAATTTGTGAAAGAATAGAGTTCAAACGGTCCATAGATTAAATTTACAAAACAAAAGTTGTAAAATTATAAAGAATAAAAACAGCAGAAGTCTCTGAAATGGACGTCTTTCATTTGCAATGATGAAGATGTTCTCTGAGAATTAGATGGCGGGACAAAAACACAAATTTATACAAAATTTAAGCAAATATGAGCAGAAATCTGCTATTATTTTGAAAGGGGGATGCTATGTGACTTTTATATTGACATTTCTAAGATGTGACCCTGAATTTGATCAGAGGTCGATGAAACTTGTCTCTTCTACATGTTGCATGATGGGACAGGGTGTTGTGGGACAAGAGTGTGGACACACCTTCATAGCATCTAGTGCCGTCCGTAGGTTGCTCTTCTCAGCAGCGTCATGAGTGTGTTTCACCAGCTCCTGTTGGAGAAAATGAAAAATAAGACCTAGAAAAGATAGTGCACATGTAAACACTGATAAACTCAGCAACATGCGGCCTTAAGGTTTTGGCTGAAGATATAAAAATGAAAAAGGCTGCTGCAAAAACAAGTTTGTCCCGAAATAAATCAGATACAGTGTTTGTGAAAGCTTGTATCTGAAATGACTTGTTGTAGCGCAGCGTAAACTAGACATCTAGAGCTTGGCTGTGGGATAAGGGGCAAGCCATGCATGCACGAGGACACACACACACACACACACACACACACACACACACACACGGGGACACACATTAGGACCCCACTATGAGGGAGATATACTGCATCCTGTCCGTTTGCCCAAGTCCTCGGTGTCAGTCAAGCTCAACCTGGGCATTATCATCACTAGCACCCCGACAGAGGCCTATTTATCAATCCTGGCTCCCTGACTCCCCGTATCTGCTGAGATACAGGGGCAGGGATGGGTCCTGATGATGGGGGGGCATATGTGATGGACTCATTGAGGAAATCATGTTCAGGAGGAAGAGGAATGATGGGTGCAGGCAGCGAGGACGACACGGAAAAAAGATTGATGGCAAAAACGGGGAGAAAGAAACGTGAAATAGAGGTAGATGAAGAGCAAACGGGAGCGACAAGACATTCGTTGTGGAGATTCTGGCTGTCATCATGTGAGGAAGTGGCCCGGCAGATGTTTTATACGCCACGGCTAGCCATTACCCAGCTGTTCCTCAGGGATCTTTGTCCATGTTGACACAACACTTTCACTTTGGTCCTGCTTTTTAGCTCTTTTGTTCTTCAAACATTTAGGGGGGACATTTGCATCATGTGCAAGACTGAAAAAGAACTCAGTAGGGTTTTAGAAATCATTTTAATATAAGAACATTCAAGTTTACTTTATTTGTCGCAGGCTAACCTAAGTCAGCGTTGCAATGTTCAATTTAAATAAGAGAAAAAAACAATAACTTTATCCGTATGACAGTAGCATGAGCGGTTTCATTAAAAAGCTGTTGTTGTTTAAGGCCCAAACAGCCTGCTGGTAGAAACTCCTTAATCTCGATGTCCAGTTAAGCCGGGCGGAAACTGTGCGACTTTTTCACTTTTAACGTTCAGCTTCACCTCAAACTGTACGATTTCCTCGCCGAGCAACTCTCACGAGTCATGTGCTCACACTGTACGACCCAGTTCTCTGATGCAATCTGACTGCTCCCACGGTACGTCTGGTAACACGTCTGAGCTAAAAATATACCAGAAGGAGCAGTTTTTACACAACACGTCAGGCTTTTTTTGTGTTGTTACTGATGTCTGTCATCCTTTGGGAGTGCTGAAGGAGGATACGGGGATTTTTGGGGGGTTGGAGGAGGAAAATGAAAGAAATAAAGTAAATCAGTGTTTTGTGGTCAGTTTAATTTAACATAAACACAGCCAATATGCTTTCTTGACAGTCCTTGTCATTGTGTGCTTAAAGATGTGTAGAAATAAAAAAAAACGACGTGTGTAAATAGGGACATAGCTGGCGAGCCGTGTTGACACACATTTGCGCATGCGCCGTGAGCGATTCTGGTGCTTTTTGGGTCGCAGCCGCTCGCAGCGCCGCTTCAACCCTCATGAGGGACGAGCAAAACATCAAACACGCCAGAAATCCGTGCGAGCTCACGATTGCTGATCGGTAGCTGGTCACCTGGTGTTAATGGGCTCTCGTAACTCTCTGTAAACTACACGACGCTCTGCGCAAATCTTGCCCTGAGCTTGTGGATTCTTGCATGAGTGGAAAATTGGCTCAAAAAAGTGAAAAAGTCGCACAGTGTCCGCCCGGCGTTAAGACTTCAGTAACGTCTGCTGGGTGGTGGCAGGGTAAACAGTTACGTGCTGGACGGCTGTGGTCCCTGATGATGTGGATAGATACATCTACACCCTTAGATAGATGGATTTGATGAGCCTTTTCCCGATCATGTGCCTGCTACCTTTACCAGTAAACTCCAGCTGTTTGCAGAGCTGCTAGCATAACAGACTCTAACAACAGCCACTGCTCTGTAGAGGTTCGACGTTGACGCATTAGTGTCTAGACAAGAGAAACATCTCTGCGGAGGAATTGTGTTCTTTTTTTTTCTTTGCAGAATTGTTTTAATTCCAGCTTGGACATTTTGTTTGAGGTCAAAGGGGATCTAAAACCGACCATCCAGATTTCAAATACTCTTCCATTGCTTTCCCTTCATTTCTTTATCTAAACTTGCAATCCTTAACAAAGGAAAAAACAACAAAGCATATTTTAAAAGTAAAACTTCATCAAAACAAATCCATGAAAAAGGTGACTTAAAATACCTTCTCAGTCATGTTTTTGAGAGTTTTCACATCTTGGCTCTCGCCATTTGTTTGTTCTCTCTGCATGTCTCTTGTTTGTGTATTTTTGTTTCAGGTGCTCTCTTTCCTTCCCCCCATCTCACTTATTGATCAGATGACAGTACTAGGAGAGGTGGGGTGGGGGAGGCAATAGCGTCTTAACAAGTCTGAAGGAGAGGGAGGTGAAACATGGACAGCGCTGCCTCTGATGGATGGATGGAGTACTGACGGAGAGTCCTCCACTGATTCAGCTGTCATTCACTTCAAAGCCAGTTAATCCGCTGTCACCTAATGATGGCTGCTGCAGATACATGCAGCTGACTTGTTAGGGCCTAATAAGAGATGATGTATAAATATAGACAACCTAATTACACAGGTGGTTATGCACGGCAATGCGAATGGATCTCGCTTCACTTCTGACTCTCACCGGAGAAGGGGAGCTATGAGAGCCCCATCAGCTGTAGTTGCATCAAAGATAAACATGTGTACAAATGCAGCACCAATCAGATGAGAGGTGGGAGTTGGTACCTGCAGGAGGAGGTGATACTTCAGCACCCGCTGCATCGGAACCACCAGCAGGTCTCTCAAAGTGAACTTTCCATAATTGGCTCTCTTTGAACATTCCTGTACGGAGGAGAAAATCAATATTGTGCACATTATAAATAATCCCCACTGGCAATAGAATTCCTCCTGCTTCCAGTAAAAAGGCTGCTCAATTATATTATTTGCACCTTGTCGAAGCCGGTGTAATAAGAACCATCGTTTTATTAAAGATTCACAGAGTTTCACAGAAATCTGACCTGTCCTCATCATCCTCACTACAGTGCCTCATACGACCACTAGAGGGCAACATCTACCCACTCCCAGGAGAAACAGCAATTACTGACTAATTATGACTCACGAGCAGCTTGTTACCTCTAGCTTCATGCGAACATCCTCTCTGTTCTTACAGATGCTATCGAGGGTGACGATGGCCGTCTCCACAAGGCTGCAGTATTTCCCATAAATCAGCAACCTGCATCAGGTCAGACATAAATCATGCAGAAGCTGCTCTCATCTCCTACGATCTTAGGTTTCATACAGAATCAGGGAATAAAATAGTTCATAATGCAGATGATGCTTATAAAAACATTAACGTCGTGATTATCGTTTAAAAGGTAATAAAAACAGATGATGAAGTTGTGTACCTCTCTTTGAAAGAGATGAAGATCTGGTAAAGGTTCTGAGAACCTCTTTGGTGGACTGACTCTTTGATTTCCAAAAGTAAACATCTGTGAACTTTAACCAGATCCTGGGAAAAGAAAAAACAAAGTCTGCAACCTTTATTGTTTTTCACCACGATCACGTAACGATATTGAATGAATTCTGTCAAGCCCCCACCACCACCCATTTTTGGCATAAAAATATCAATAAATGTGTTTAGGTTATTAAAATATGTTAATTATTAATTTAAAAGAGTCACAAAAGATGTAGTTATGCTGCTATAGTGATTTAAATTATTTATTATAGCTCCAAACATCAATCGTGGCACATATGAATACAGGTTTAACCACATATGAGGACAATGACTCACCGGGATATTCACAAACACCTTCTCCATCTCCAGCGTGGGTAAAAACATAGAGAGGGGCGTCATAAAGTGCTGCAGGAGAGAGAAAGGATGCAGGAGAATGAAGCTCGTTTCTCTGGAGCAAAAGTGGGAAAGTCATTTAGTGCCAGATGCTATTATATTATGGAGCCAAGTTGCAAAGAGCTGCAGTAAGCAGAAACAACGAGGACTGTCTGGGTCATGACAATAATCTCATTTTCAGAGTTTGCAATTTAATGATTTCCTCTCGGAAAACTCCCACCGCATAGTCAATTCTACATCTCGGAGGAGAGGCCAAGCCCAAACTAAATTCCACCATCCGCTTCATACCAAAAGTCATCTACTGGGCCTCCGCTGGGAAATCAGGCGAGGGCCTTTTGCAGACGTGAATGTACACAAGGGGAAGAAGACAAGTAGCTGCAGCTGGGGGGCTGGAGATTGGTGGGCCTCCAACAGAGCTGTGAAAGTGCAGGCTAAGGTGAAAAGACCCACAGAGGAACGGGCTTCTCTAATGGTTTTGGGTCTTGGGGGAACTGTGCGAAGCTCTGGGATTGCTTTTTAGCAACTACTAATTTCAAAAATACTCATAAGAAAAAGGAGAAATGTTCAATTTATTTGTATTTGTTCACTGGACACAGAAATTCAGCCTGCAGCAGGTTCTCATTTAAAAATGTTAGAGGACAAAAGGCCTCCAAATTCCTAATAGATCCATCCATCAGAGGGAAGAATTGTTACTAAGACATAATGAATCTTTTCTATTTCTCTATGAGGTGGATGCTTAATTAAAGTCTATCACTCTTAATAGGAATTAATATCATCTCTGTGATAAAATCTAGGGATTTGCACAGACAGGTTTCTGTTTCTGATCCCAGAAGTTATAAGAGCGACGTCACAATTAAAGTCCAAGAATAAAACAACAACAAAAAAAGTGTAAGCTGTCAGAAAAAGGATCCAGTGATCTGAAAGATGACTGTGAAAAGTCACAAAAATCCATTTTTCATTATTTAAAGAGTCATAAAGTGTTTATTCTCAGCTCATTTGCACAATTCAAGAATAAACTAAAGGAATTCAGACACATTCACTTTCAACTGCAATAGGATCAGTCTGATCTTCATCAGCACTGAGCTGAGGAACAGGACTGAACCACACCTGGTTCCTGTTAGCCCTGCTAGCACTACTAGCTAACTCAACCTCTACAGGACACTTGCTGCCTGCTCCCCTTTGCTCTCTACTTTTGTTTCCAGACTTCTCCAGACCTTCTTCAGGCGGATCAAAGCTTTCCTGTTCGGCTCTTCCCCAACAACCCCTGAGCTATATTGCCACCTTGTGGCCATCACAGGCACTACATTAGTTTTCACACTTTCCAAATCTGAAATTATGAATTTGACCAAAAAAAAAAAACTGTTCTTATTACACTTGTAAAAATGTCTTCTTTAACTACCCACTTGTGTGTGTTGGATTTGTGTTTGTTACCTTCTCTATAGACTCCAGGGTCTCTGTGTATTTCTCCTCCGTCTGCTTCAGCTCCATCAAGCAGCAACTCCTGATGTCAATCTCCGCCTGCTTCTGATATGCCTACACACACACGCACGCACACACACACACACACACACACACACACACACACACACACACACACACACACACCCAGACAGAGAGAGAGAGAGAGAGAGAGAGAGAGAGAGAGAGAGAGAGAGAGAGAGAGAGAGAGAGAGAGATAGAACATGTGTCAGCGCTGTAGGGCTCACGCCAGATGTGGTCGATCCAAACCTTCAAGCGGGTCAGAGGTCACACCTGCTCATCTGCCAGCTTTATGTTTTCTTTTACTTAATAGTCAAAGATAGGGCTGCATAATTGAACCTTCAAAATAACAATTCTGATTTAAACAGCTTTAATTAACAATCTCAGATTAATGCTGATTAGAAGAACGCCACATGGTACAAAGTCCTAAGCAAGCAGCCGGCATCAGTGAAGGTGTTTTTGCTGCTACAGTATGTGTTTCTATTAAAAACAGACAAGCTTATTTTGTCAATGCAAAGCTAAACTAAGACTTTATTATATAGATGCATGACTTTGTAATACTTTTTAAATCTTCTTAAATCCATGTATCAACTTCTTATAATTTTAAGTCCCACAGATACTCTGATCTGTCTGGCAGAGAGGAAACGCACCGGAGGAGGGATGGCTTCCGTCTTCATCAGGTCCTCATAGATCTCTCCACCTTCTTCATCATCATAAACACAGTCGTATAGATCTTCCTCATCCTCCAACCTGTTCTCACTGCAGCACACACACACGACAGGATATGGTAATGGCATGATTTTGACTCTTTATAACACTTTAGAACACACTCCTGCTTTTACAGATGTGGATGTTATCACTTTGCTATAAACTAGATGAGGACGATGACCGATTCACGGCCATGAAATTTACTCAGGAACACAGACACCAAAAAAAGATTTTGGAGTGTGCTCTTACATTTTTATTGTAGACTTACATGGAGATAGATAATTTAGGTGTATCCATTTAGACTACTTCTTTACTGTAAAAGACAGAAATGTCTTAATTTGTAGAAATGTGTTTTTTAAATATGGCTTTTTTTGTAGAGTAGAAACAAACTCGTGGCAGAGCTAAAGGGTTGGGTTAAGGTTCTTCAGACCAGGTAATTTATTTATTTATTTATTTTGGTGATTTTAGCAAAGGATTACCTAAAATATAATAAAAGAAGCTTTCAAATGTCCCACCGGTATCACTTATCGTGGCAGCAAAAATAGGGACACAACTAATAATTATGAGAAGTGACAGGATAATGTGTGTTTCTTCTCTGCCAGATGACACTGTTCTGTGTGAATCCTAGCCATTTCCAACCATAATCAGAAACATAAATGTTTATTTATTCCAACAGCTGCTGCCGTTTAGACAGAATGGTCGGGAGTGGCTTTAGACATCAGGTAAATTTGTCCTTATTAATAGATTTTATCTTTTACATTCAGAATAAAAGGCTGTTTCTCTTTTTTATATGTAAGTTTATACTGATTTATACGTAAAGATGACAGGCTCAGCCTTAAACTTTTAAATATCCACAACACATCTATTTTACATAAGTGAAGAAAAAATACCTTGTTCTACTTTTGAATCTAGAACTAGAACAACTAGAACCATCGACCGATGGATCCAGAAAGCACATGGATGGCTAAAATCAACGCTTAGAAAAAACAATGTTATTAGGTGTATTCTTATTTTTTACTTTAGGAAAATGTCCCATTTTTTTACAAGAAGGAGGTGGGGCTTAAAATTTGTCTGTCATGCTGCTAATGTGACCGCTCCCTTAGCCATTACATATGGCAAAAAGACTGTTGACACATGTTGAAACCTCAGTGAAACTAAAATATGCCAGCCTTTAATAGGAATGTTCCGTTCTGATATAAATATCAAAAGTAATTTGATATCGGTCCAAAAACACTATCGGATTATATCGGACGCCATCAGAAATCTCTGATATAAGCAGTCCGTTAAGGTTCACATTTTTGCAACTAATGGTCAAAAAAATTGTCATTGTTTTCATACCTACTGTTACTGGCTCTTGTTCTCCGATCGAGTAATATCACTTGATCAAGCCTTTCATACATTCCATACTACGAAATTGGTATGTATGATTTGTGCTGATATACTGGTATCGGTCAATACTGAAGGACGCAATATTTAGGCGCGGTGACCCTTACCAGCCACCGTATCATCTGCTGAAGTTGCCGGCGTCACATGCGCGCTTTGTTGTTTACAACCAAAACTTTCTTGAAGCTAAAGCTGAAATAATGGCCAAAGGAGGAGACGGCAGCACGCAGGACATTTATTATCCCTCAAAGAAGACAAAGTCGGAAGTACGGGCATCTTTTGGATATTTGAAGAATGCCGAGGGAGCAGTAGCGGTTTTAGGCACGGGCAGACAGGGCAGTTGCCCGGGGCGGCATTTTTTCATGACACAAAAGGGGCGCACAAGCGCGGAGTAAAAAAAAAAGGAAATCTGCGCCGCACCGAGGTTTTCTATTATCTGTCTTATGACAGTGTCTGGATTGGAAACAGCAAGTTGGCGCCCCCTGCAGTTGCAGGCGCTCCTGCTGACTGAGAACGTTCACGTGCTCCGTGTGTCTAAAGAACAGGAAGGGGAGGGGTGCGGCGGGGGAATTCACCTCTGCGTCTTTCCCAAATGAAATGAGCGTGCAGGGGCTGAATCAACTGTATTAACATGGCTAAAGTCAATCACATCTTAACGTTCTTCCATATTTCATTCATAATATCATAAACACAGGCCTATCATTCTTTCAGGTTTCTCTGAATTGTGTGAAATGGCCGAATAAAAAAAGGAAAAACAAAACGAATTTGTGGTCACCCCCCATCAAGTTCAAATTGTTTAGACCTGACTAAAGGAAACTTACTGAGTCAGGAGCCAAACAGAAGAGATGAACATTAAAAGGCTAAAACCACCAGGTGCCCCCATTCAGGGGAAAAAAAGAAAAAAGAGCAGAAAGATAAAGGTATGTAGCTCTCATGATGCATGTTTTCAATTTTTTAACCAGTTAACTGGGATTTTAACGGTTAAAAGCGGTCAACTAATTGCTAACAGAGCTAATAGGGCTGAAATATTGAAACGAATATTCAAATGGTTTGAAAAAAGTCCTCGAATCGTTTTTTACTGATTCAAACTAGGATTTGTTAAATGCTCACTGCAGCCCGTGGCCTGCCTGAACAACAACAAACACATGTTGACCATGTTCACATAATAATAAATAAAACAATTCTACAAGCAGAAGAAAACTCCCCAGTCACCACTAACTATCCTGTTTATTTATTGCAGATGGCTGCACTGATTATTTTTTACATGATTTGTTCTGTAAAAGTTGGCATTTTTGGTAGTCTACAGTTTTTTATGTCAGTTTAAATTACAATTTCAGAGGCAATTCTAAAATATTATGGATCATGATAAAGATCTATTGGAGATCTACCCCAACTTTTGGACTGCTCTGCCAGTCACTGTGGCTCAAGCTGAGAGGAGCTTTTCAAAACTTGATCAAGTCATACCTGAGGTCAACTATGTTTCAGGGGCGGCTCACTAACCTGGCTCTGATTAGTATCAATCACTCAGTAGGGGAGCAGATTTCATGTGATGACATTATTGATGACTTTGCATCAAGGTTAGGTTTTAATTTTAGTTTGTGTTTTCTATTCTAAGTGCAATGCTGTAGTGATTATCTTTAGTTTGTTACGTGTGAAATATTTTTGCTATTTAGAATATTTATTATCTATTATGTTCATATATTCTTAATATTTAGTTATTGTTTGTTTTTGTATATTTGATTCTATATATTTTGATACAGTATATAATGAATAGTGCTTTACATTCTGACAACTTCATAGTAATTAATGTAAATATGTGCAACTTAGAAAAATTAATGTTCAATAGTCGTTCTAATAAAACATGCCTGTTTTTAGAAAACATGCGTGTGTTCATGCAGGTGGGGTGGTGTGGTGGTGGTGGTGGTGGTGGTGGTGGTGGTGGTGGTGGTGGTGGGGGTGGGTGGGGGGGTGGGGGTGGGGGGCGCTCAAAGGGGGCCTCGCCCGGGGAGTAATTCGATGTAGAACCGCCACTGCGAGGGAGTTTATAGAAGACGGCAATCCTGTTTGCAGCACGTGCAGAAAAAGTGTCTGTGAAAGGCAGCAACGCTTCAAATCTCATGACACATCTGCGTGACCATCACCCACAACTCTACAGTCAACGCAAGGCAAGCTAACGTTAGCGTTTTAGCTAAAATGCGTGATCCGAGGATTTGGGTTGAGGGAGAATGCAACGAGTCGCTATATAAAGCAGCCGCAGCGCCGCTACCTGCATATAAACCGTGTCGCGGACACCCCCATGTTGAAATGACGCTATGCATTACGGGGCTCCCAGGGGCAGATAAGATTTGGTCTCTCTCCGAGAATAATTATGAATTTATGACATTTTCCCAAATCTGCAAAGCTCACTGGAAGGACACAAACCGAGGACAATATTTTCCTGATATAGGGTTTATTACTTAAGGGTAAAAAAAAGTATTAGAAGGCTACTTGAGTACTGAGTATTATCTGATCTAATATTTTTAAATGATGACATCAAACAGACAAAAAATAAGAAGTTATGGGCAAATATTGGTATTTTAAAGACTAAAGGGAAAAAATGTAAACAAATAAACAACATAATTACAAAATAACACATTTTAGGCAACATTTAGACACAAACTGAGGACAATATTTCCTGACATACAGGGTTTATTTAATTGTGTGAAAATGTAACACGTTTAAAAAATATACCGCGATAATACGAAAACCGTGATAATTTTGGTCACAATAACCGTGAGGTTAAATTTTCACACCGTGACAACCCTAATAGCAGGCCACAAAATATTTTCACATTTGCAGCAAACACGTTTTACCAGGAAAGATTAACATATTTCATGAGGAAGACAGCGACTGTCTGTGATGTACATGGAATAATACATGTTTTGTGTTTGTATTACTTATTTAGTGTTGATAATCCTATATTTCACTATGGAGGACGTGTGTTACCGTCCACTGCAGTGAAATGTGTGAATTGTTCGCGACGGGTGTGAAAATGATGTTATTTATTTAGCGTTGCCGTTATTAGGCGTCTTGTCTCGCCCTGGTGTGTGAATAGCATCTGATCCCAGAGACCCAGCCAGCAGCTATAGGGGTCCAGACTTTTGTAGTTTGTTTTTTAAACAGCTCTAGCGTAAAGTGAAACTCTGTTTACCACATCATTTTAAAAACCCAGCAGGGTGAATTCTGGTGAACAGCAGCAGGGAGAACCTAAGCTAACGTTCGTAAGCTAGCTAACACTTCATTTGAGTGAATACTGCTCTCTGTTAGCCCCACCTAGGTGTGGCAAATCTTCCCACTATTTAACTGGAGTGGCAAAAAACAACCTCCATCACGACTTTTCCTCTTCATTCAACACACCCATAATTCACTGTTGCCCCACCTAGATACTTCCAATAACTGAACTGGGCATGAACTAGTTGAAGCCAGACCAGGGGTGCACTGAGACGACAATTCGGCCCTGGTATTTCTATGACCGGGGGTCGGTGTGTTGGCCCATTCTGGAAAAGCGGACCACCGGGACGGTGCCAGAATGCCAGATAAGCCAGTCCACCCCTGAGCCAGGCTAAGTAAATCACAAAAAACTATCTCACGCTTTGTTCATTATTCATTTTGTTCACAGTTTAATATGTTTTTGCCAACCGATATGATGGACCCATGTGGGCAGGTGACGTAGGTGCAAAGGGTTAATAGAAGAACCTGTATTGGTGAATCTCCTCAAGATGGAAACTGCAGTCGGCCACTAGAGGGCAGTGGTTTTGTTTTTGCTTCAACTTCTGGGTTTTGTTCAGACATTAGTGTTTAACACCTGGTTTACTATTGAGTAAAAACCACATAATCTCAGATCGATGCAGATAAATATAGGTGATTAGTCCAATTCTGTAGACACAATAAATGTTATTTTAAAATAATAAAGACTGAAGATGTATTAGCTGAAACATGTGCACAAGCTATGCATAGAGGTGAGTCCAAAATTACATGAGGCAAAAATCAATGATAAAAAGGCCACAGTTGGCTGGGTTTGGATAACCAGCTACCTGCAGACTAGAAGTCCTGTTTGCAATGAGGCAGGATTGCATAATGCTTTATACATCTTTTGTTTTATCTTCAAATTTTAAAGATAATAAATAAATTGTTGAATTAAATGTGGTGCATGTAAATCTGCAAGTCTAGGTCTATACATATATATATATATATATATATATATATATATATATATATATATATATATATATATATATACAAAAGTTCAGATGTTTTATTATTTAACATCAACCTGCAAAACTTGGATAAGTTTGGGTTGCATATAGACTGAAAAACTAATTATTAAAGTATAATCCCACACAACTTGTGGTTAACTGAAAGAAAGTGTGTGTGCTGAGCTCCTGCTGAGAGACATGGAGGTGGTGGCTGCCTTCCAGTCAACACCCAGGGACCAAATGGTGCCTCATTAATTAGTCAGTAATGACTTTTTAGTTTTCCCATCACACTTATGTTTTGAAATAAAGAAAGAAAGGAGAACACCTACTCTATGAGATCCTCCAGGTGGTTATAAATGTCCTCATCTTCAACGCTCTCCTCTGTAGGAAAAGGTCTGAAAGAAAAAACAAATCTTATAAACTCATAAAAATGTATGGTTTCACTTCTTCTTTTCCATTAATCGTACCTGATTCCTGTTTGCTGTGCAATCATTGTATGGGAGAGTATGGATAAAGTCTCCATGACCTAGAACAAACACAGGAATGTTTATTATATCACTTCCATGTTAGAAACTGTCTGACACAACATTGTGAGGGTGCACTTACACGCGTGGACACAAGAGGGCAGCAGTTCCAAAGAAATATGACTTTTTTGCCATTTTCTGAATAAAACATTTTGTTTAACTTCATTTAATTTCAAGTGTTTTTCTAGTGCATTTAAAGTGGAGTTTATAACATGCAACAAGAACATTATAACAAATTGGGAATTTCGCTGCTGCACCAAAAATAAACAAAGAGCATCACAAATCGATCATGTTGGGGCGTAACCATTAGGGTGATCCATAATTTCACACTGTCGCTCCCAGGCCTGTCTGTGCCCTTGACCCCTGTCTATGAATGTGTGCGTGTGTGTGTGTGTGTGTGTGTGTGTGTGTGTGTGTGTGTGTGTGTGTGTGTGTGTGTGTGTGATATTAAACTAATAACAGCTGAAGTGATTCTATGTTTAGATTAATTATCTGAGACAAAACTCAACATAAAGCTCTTTTTTCAGGTTTTAAACTTTAATTAATACCCCCTCATTCACGCCAACTCACTGGAGATATCACATAGATGCAAACAAATTATCTTACGTTCAATCCTGACCACACACACACACACACACACACACACACACATACACACACATATCCTCTCCCTGGTCAGTAAAGGGAGTAAACAGCTGAACAGTAACAACCAGCCATGTCCCTGCTTACATCCTTTAATCATCGATCTCTCTGAGATAAGGAAAAAGATCCAGATCTGTTCCATGAAGCTGGATTAACCCATATGGAACCCCATAGTGTACTGATACAACAAGATAAACCAGAGCTGAGTTCAATAGTTGAAGCAACTGATCAAAGAGAAAGATGAGTCGTGAACAGCTGAAATGTGGGAGGATGCGACGTGTTTGTGACTGCATGTGGCTCTGCAGCAGTGGGCGACCACACAACACCAGGAGAGGTGTAATAATGGCTCATACATGCAAACATGGACTCGAAAATAAGACTACTGCAGCAATAATGGAGGTTTTACTTTGAGGAGGACAGGATGGATATTCGACAGTGGTCCTGAAGATGAGCTGGAGGGCTCAAAAACACCTGATGAAGAGTCTGTCTCCACACAGGGTTAGGGTAGTCCAGGCTTACAGTCTGAGCTTATTTAAAGCTCCCAGTTTTCCTCAATTCAATGAAAAATATTCAATTTGTTTACAACTTAAAACATAACGTGCATATATCTGACAATCTTCCAGCATATTACATGAGTTCATGCATGCAGTCTGTGTTTGAGCAACTTTAAAGCATCAAATTTAGCTCAGTATCTTTAAAACTGAACAGGTTTCAGCCATTTTTTTATTAACAGGTTTGACTCCAAATATCAATCAGATCTAGATGACCATCTACTGGTTAATTTCTGAGAGTTTCATTTAAATCCATCCAGTGGTTGAGCAGATGCTTTCTAAAAAACACACATCCACACCCACAGCCTCTTTTTGGAGGCAGATGATAAAAACACATTTCCTGTATCCGATAACCTTCCTGATTTCCAGTTATCAGCGCTCACAGTAATTAGAAGAGCTGATCTCCCCACTAATGAGGAAAGGGGCTGACATCTGGAGGCTGGTTGGCAGGTACAGCGTGTCCAAACGCTGATGATCCACTGGGTTTTAAACAGAGCTTTGGACACTTCCCAGTTTGTTGCTGGTTTTTCTCAGAGACGAGCGGCAATGCCTTTTTGGCTTCAATGACTTTGTGAGTCACACACACACACACACACACACACACACACACACACACACACACACACGCACGCACACACACACACACACATTCGCAAACAAATTAACCATCTGCATGAAGCCTGGGTGACTTTACAGACCCACATGTACTACATTTATTAACAATAATCCCACTGTGCTCAGAATATAAAATGTTGGGATTATTCTACACAAAGCCTATGATTTAAAATGTACTCGCTGAAGCAGAAACTGCAATCTTCTGAATGTTGTTCAAGGAGGAGAGTTGCCTTTAATCTGGGCATCTCACAAGCCCTGGAGTCAGGTGAAGACGTGGTGTTCCGAGTGTTATCTCTGAGGCGGTTTCCTGGCTAAGCATGCAGTGAAGTACTTGGATGAACAAGATGGAAAACATCCCTGCACACGGATGATTACCGAACGTTAAAGATGCACGTGCTGCTTTTTTCAGAGTAAATGTAAAAACATCATCAGGGATGGGATTGTACTTTCATTTTATCTTTGATGGTGTGTGTACACAGAAATCTGTGTGTATAAAATATGGGATTCCTTTTGAAAAATGTCAGACGTTTGCTCAGAGCCACGTGTTTTGTACGACTGATTTAATACACTAGTTGTTTCAGTGGCAGACCCATAGGTCCTCTGTGTGAATGGGGGATAAAGCAGCAGCCTGGGGGCCACTTCAACGAGAAAGCTCCAACAAAGCAAAACATCTTAAAATATGTGCCAGAGATTGTTGCAAACAGTAAAAAAATTACAATTTAGAGCACATGGGGAGGTGACACAAGCGGGCAAACTTAACTATAAGTGCACTCTGAATGATGGAAAGACCAGACTGTCTGTTGATTTGTTCGTTTTCCTCCACTTATCATTCTCTCACCAACAACCTCCACCAGTTCCACCAGAGGGTTCCCAAAGTGTGTTCTGGCCAACATGGAGATATAATCCCTCCCTCGTTTCCCGGGTGAACTAGGGGGCCTCCTGAAATCGCCAGCACTTTTTACCCACCAAACACAATATTACCCTATGTTAAATAGACACTGGTTGAGCACTAGGACCAAGCGAAGCCCGTTTCCCATTAAAACCGTCCATAAGCTCATCTGTTGGCTCTGCTGATACTTGCTAACATGTGATTGGCCATTCCTGCCACCTCTGTACTTGACAGTCATGCATTCCTGACATCTGACATTGCATAAAAGAGCCTCTAAGCTGTAGTTGTATACATAATATTTGTAAACTTACTCTAAAGACCCTCCCCGGTCCTCAGGCCGGTTGTGCCCTCCTTACTTCTAAATTCAAAACTACGTCCAATACAGTTAAGCACACATTAATTTTAGCTTCTTGTTTTCACGAATCTTGTTCTTTTAGTCATTACCTACAGATCATAGGTGAGGACTGGCATAAAGACTGACCGGGGAATAGAGAACTTTGCTTATGTAGCTGAACTCTCGCTTCAACAGACCAGTTCAGCCTTCACTGGCAGACATCACTGATGATGCTGCCTTGACTCGCCTTTCTCCCGCTTTATTCTTCCCTCATTGGTGAACAGAACCACAAATGACACCTACTTTTCTCACTTTTAGTGTAACTTACTGTGCTGTTCCTTCAAAAACCTCTACAATGCCTAGCCACCATTTGTGTTTATGGAATTAGGTGCCTTTTGGGATCGCTGAGTCAGGTCCTTGTACCTTGCAGCGGAGGCTTACAGCCGTGCTTGTTGTAATGTAGTCCCAACTCTAAATCGCCTCATGTAATTCCTTTGTGTTACTTATTATTTTAAACTCTGGGGAATGTGGCAACAGACTAAATTTCACTTAAGCGTGGAATATCCCTTTAAACTCCTCCATTTGTGGTAGGACCTCTCCCCTACTCAGAGCTGGCAATCCACCCTTTGCCAGTGGAAACCCATGGCCTCATCCCAGCAACATAAACTGGCATTTGGTACACGGAATGGAAAGAGCAAACAATTTATAGGAATTACTGATGATGTTACATATTACATTTTTTTTAAATTGAAGATGAGTTCACTAGACTCTGATGGCCTCTAAAGTCACCAGATGTCAGTCTAGTCCAGATCTTTTGGGATGTTTGGAGACTCTCATGTTATTGCTGATGCTAATATGTGAATATTAACCAGGCCCCCACAATGCGGCTCAAAAATTGAAGCAATCCCGGAAGTACCAAAAATTGCAGTTCCACCCTCATCCGCTGGGGGCTGGTGTCAGAAGCGAGCAAATCCTCATTGACTCCCATGTTAAAAATACCAATTTCACAGCAGAAATAAACATGTTTACAGCCTGGTACCAGAACATGTTTTTGGTTTAAATGATCTAGTTTACACTCATGACAACTCTGAGGGGGGTGAATTTTTTTCTCACTCTTCTGTTTAAGTGTATTAAAAGCCTAAAATTCTGTATAATTAATGAGCATCAGGCCCACGTGACCACAGAGCTAGCTCAGTGGAAAGGCCTCAGTAGAGCCTCGGTCTGGCTTGGAAACTGTTCAGGGATTTTGAGTCTCTGTGTTTGTGTATTCTTTTTTGGATATTTTTTGTGCAATTGTTGGACAAAATGACTTGCTGTGGCATTAATTGCACTCATAGAGCGTCCAAGGAGTCTCCACTTCATTTTTTTCTGTAAGTAAAATTATATTTATGTATTTTAGGTCACTGCCGAGCTGAGCTTAGATTTTAACATGTACTGTTTAACCGTGAAATTTAAATGTAATAGGGTAAAACCCAGTGCATTTAACATAATGCTGCACTTTAGAAAATGGGTTGAAATAAAACATGTTGGTGGAGCTGGGTTCCAACTATCGGCTTGTGGAGCTCTCGGGAGACCGATGTTTTCCACCCGTTTCTCCCCTCCCCGCAGCTCGACGCATCTCTGTCTGGTCGCAGCTTCTGTGTGCTGTGCGGGCGGCCGGCTTTCAGCAGCTATCGGGAGACCTTGGTGTTCGACCCGGTTTTACCCAGCGGTCAGCCCAGCGCATCTCTGACTCAGAAGCTCTGGTGTTGTGCACAATTAACTCCGGTTGTAGCTAGGTTGCTACCTCCTTTAGCTTAGCTCCCACCTCTGCGTTAGCTTTGGGTTAGCTTGTAGCTAGTTCGACTGGGTGTCGTCAGTTGATCCCAGCCTTACAGCCCCACCCTCAGCTCCACCTCTCTTCCCTTTTATGGAATTGTCTGGGCTTGACGGAACCTGTGACACGGTCAAAATGGCGGTGGTGGCCACCTC